GAGACACATCACCTTTACAATTAGTTAAAGACATGAAGTAATATCAAAAGGGGTGCAACATGCTTATCGTACCTACAAAATTAAATTTACTTTTCTTGCTTTTTCCATCTCAAATTTTTAAAACTTTAACAAGGAAAGGTTATTAGAAACACTTGTAGCTAAATACAATGTTCACAAAATGAGATTCCAAGTCAAATTTGCTCACAATGTTACATGCCTTTTTCAGACACGAGTAGAATGTTGCACTTGCCAGGGTCACAAAAAATCATAGCAAAATGGATGTTTAATCATGATATTAACACATAATTAACACCAACAGACAACATAGACAAACTTTAATTCAACATATGATTCAATTCAACTCTACAATCACATATAAACACATAAATAACAATTTTCCTACAAAAAGTAATTTTGATGCTATGAAAATGAAACTTTTGCTGCAAGACTATCACATAAGAATCCAACCAAAACAGTTTTATATTTGTTGATGTCTTTTCTCTCAATTGTCTTGCAATAAAAGTTCTATTATGAAAAATTATATTTGATAAAACAACTCTAATAAATCTAACTTCGTCTTTATCACAATGGCTCAGCCACTAGTTCATTCATTTCACAAAAATCAAATCAATATCCATTTCACATCTATTGCAAAATAAGTTAATAAAACAGTTTGTAAAAATGCTGTCTAAATTCTTGTTAAAGTTCATTTTCTGTTGTTCGTAACAAAATTTCCGATGGAAGTAGATTGTCATCTCTTTCAGAGTCATCAGCTAAATGAATTTACTTTGTAATGCTCAATAATATCTTTAGGCACTTAAAGTTTATTCTGTCAGTCAACAAACTGTGACTCCTCTTACCTAAATTAAGATAGTTTAAAGTACAAATATTGTCATTTTTCATCTAGATCTGCTGCATTCCAAGACTTGACAACACAGCTGATATTTTACAAAATACATTTATATAGTCTATCTTTCTTAAGTACATACAAAACAATTTCTCAAGTTAAATAGTAAGAGTAGGGTAAGTAAATAACATTCCCAAATAAAATTATTACACATGCAAATATGTGAATGAGTAAAACCCTGATTGACTTCTCTAGAATGTACAAAATAAATCAATGAATGTAACAGATAACATTTTCTCTCTAGTAACAAATAAAGAATAAAAGTTTCACCTATCCGCAGGGACCAAAAGCCCTGAAAGTGTTAAGCAACAATCTCTATTTGTCTCATGCCAGTCACTAAACACTCACAGAGCTTTAGGAAGCTGCAACTCAATCTCAATTTTATAAAATATTTCCTCTGTCTTTTCATGCTAGTTTTTCACATACAACCAACAATGGAGTGGTTGTATGTAACTCTCTTTCTGTCACTGTTTTTAAACTGGAATTATGAAAATCTAAGAAGAACATTGCTTGTTATTTTCAAATGCTTATCTCTATTTCTGGTCAAGGACCTAAAAATTTTTAGATAAGGTTGTTGCTGACAATAACGCACATTGTTGTCATATATTTATTGATCATTAATGGTACTGTAACAGTCTTGAGGTTTCATTCGATTTTTCCCTCCATGCTGTCCTTTACAATGGCCATTTTTCAGAAAAGAACGCAAGAGTTATCTTGATCTCCTCCTCTGAATAAAGTTTGTCTTCTTGAAGACTGATTGGAATAGTCTTTTAATATTGCCTTGCATCCTGGACATGCAAATCTCTCTGAGATGGCAACCAGCTTTGTTTCTTGCTTAGAACAAAGCCGCTGCTTACAACCTTTTATGTCTCAGTCTCCCATTCCTTAAATTCGTGTTCTATCACTTCATTGTTGCCCTCACCCTGTACAATCAATCACACACACACACCCTTAGTACATACAAAAAGAACCGCCCCTGGATCACATGGCATGGGGCGACATAACAAAGGTGGGTGTGGTGGGAGCGGAAGTTAACGTGTAGTTGTTCCAGTACTGGACGTCCATCGACTGGACAGGCTGAGGGTCAATGATTTGGTAGGATGTTTGAGGAGTAGGAGGAGGAGCTAGAGGAGGTGGTGGTGTCGCCGCTGACTCCACAGGCATATAGCCTAACACCTGTGGCTGTACCTGTTGTTGCCACTATTAAACAAGGAACATGAAACGAAACACCATTGTTAGCATGACTCGCTAGCCCTACAGTCCTGGCAAACAAGGAAGCTTGAGTAGTTTCTAAAGAAACTGTTCAAGTCTTATGAGCCAACTGGCCCAAAACTTGTAACTAACCATGCATGTCTACACCATTACAATATCTCAAGAATGTCATGCAAACATACAACAACCACAATGTCACCAAATTTAGTCAAGAAGAAATTAAATCACAACTGATACAAATAGCTAGCTACATATTGTTAAAAGCAGCTATGAGCAAAATGAACCATTCATTTGTTTTTGGGTTGTTGCCTCAAATGAAAGTTAGCTCTCCCTCTAATATTTGATGCTTTCAATGGATTGATGCATGAAAACCCCAAAAAATCTCTGTGATTGTTAGTTTGTTTTGTTTTGATTTTTGTTTTGTCATTTTAGTTTTAGGAAGAGATGCCTTCTCTGGCTAATTTCAAATATCCCCTTTCATTGGGATCACAGGTGTACAAACTGAACATTTCAAATGGCATTTTTTCTGACATCATTTTGTTCTCATAGTGCTCTGTAAATGACCTCTAGTTTGGTGAATAACTTAACATATTTACCTGTGGTACTTGTGTTTGAACCAAAGGAATTCCTGGTGTAAGTAGTGGCACTGAAAATGGTCACATAATATCTTTAATACATGTAAATTTAGCTTGATGACAGCCACTTTTTCAAGTGGAAACACCAAACAAGATCCTGTCTCAGTACGTATATATATATATATATATATGTACATGTTGGTATCTATACCAGGTATATATGTATGAAAATTCACCACTTCCCCAACAGGGCTTAAGGCTAATCAGGATCAATGTGAATAAATTAATGAAAAAAAATCCAGATTGATTGGAGACAGACCAGTTGGCTACATACAAAGTGCAACCAATGCATTGAACAGGGGAAAACCAAGAACAAATCTAGTGAGCAGCAGGGTGAAGGGCTTGAACCCATGAAAACTGGATTTAAAGCCTGGCACCTTAACCACTTGGCAACAGTGCCTCCCCCATCTAAAAGAAATACCTGAAAACAAAATGTTCTACCTACTTGTTGGTATAAGAGATGTGAACTGCAACCCCAAAGGTTGATTAAAGGAAGGTAAAGCAGCTGCTGCCCCTGGCATGACCAGGGGTACTTCCAGAGCAGTTTGTTTCTTGAATGGTTCCCCAAAAGTCTGTGGACAAATAACTGCACAGTTAGTTCATCAGTTTTGAACATGCCCCAACCCAAAGATTAGGGATATTTTGACACTGTTATAACAAATATTTTTTTTTACTCAGAGGCAGTTACGAGACTCATAACAGTGCCTGTAATTGACATACTGTAAGTGACTTGCAAAGATAAATGTTTATCCTTGCTTTTCTATTAGGCGGATGTATCAGATTTAACCTGTAGTTGTAGTGCAGTATTCATCTTGTTACTCCATCAAAAGTCAAATTGACCTTAAAAGCTACATAATGTGAGAGACAGTGCTTATAAACTCCTGGATGAACAGGAATGTCCCAAGAATGCAATATTTTCACAATAACCAACAACAGTTTGTAAGCAAGTCACTGAACGACCCATCCATCTGGAATTAACCAACAGAATGGTCATTGTGTCCTCAAACCACTCTATATACAGGTATGCTCCATTGACATTTTGATATTCATACACAAGAAGACCTATTTCCTTACCATAGTGGAAGTTGTTAGTAAAAAAAAAAACTACCCAGGTAGAATATTTACAATGGACAAACAATTAACCTCTAAATACTTTTGAGTAATAAGAGGTCCAACCTTTAAGCTATGAGCACTTATGGCAGAGGTCTATCTTATTGGGCCGGTTTAGTACAAATATGAAATTGGTTTCAAACATTGCTTGGGTCATGGAGATTAGTAAATTCATACCAGAAAATAACTGAAATTGAAACAAAGAGCTTTGAAGCCAATTTGAGTGCACAGTGAAGGCTTGCTTCAGTGTCACTGTGCTCCCTTATTAGGGAGAGCCCTAAAGCGAACTAAATCACACCTGAGCTGGGGAGGAGACAAAAAAAGGGTTGGAAAACGACATTTGGAACACTATTGAAAGATGTTATTCCAGGTGCTTAAAACTACATCTAGGTGTAGTAGCTATAGCCTGCTTGGACCTACAAAAGCAAAAGGCAATTTAGTACCAGTTCAGTCAATGTATCATGTGGCCTCTTGCGGCTACCCTCCAGCTAAGTCAGCAAAAGGCGGTGTGCAAGCACAAAAGGAATGCCAGCCAGCCAGCAGCATGATGTAAGCAATTTCAGCAACGGCACATGAAAAAAGACAAGCAAAATGCAAGTCATGATTTATGCAAATTGCTGCTAAACTTCACAAGCCTCAAGCATGCACAGTGACAGGCGTAAGCAGTTAGGATTCAACATCTCTACAGTACAGCAACCCAAGGCTAGCACTTGAAACTAACACTTTAAAAATGCTATGTCATGACCTGTGCACCATGAAATCTTCTGCCAAAAGTTTTCCAATTAATCACCATCAATTGATTTGAATCTGCTGCAACCTAAGCAGCACTAATTGTCCTTTCTTGCTTTATAATTGCCCCTTTTGTGTTTTTCTAATGTCTCCATCATGTTCTTCAAGCGAAACACCATAAAAATGATTCAAAATATTATGATGTAGGTCTGGTTGTCTGAGACTTTTTCACTTACTTTGATCTATGCATTAATGTTGTGATGACAAATAATAAAAAAAAAAAGAACAGTTGGTTCTTCACCTAAGCTAGCCTTACAATTGCTGATTTTGGCTGTGAGATGTCAATCACTGGCTTGATGCATAGTTTATGTGACTATGTATAACTAAACCTACATCTCAAATAGTTGCATTAGCATGCATGCATGCATGCAAGTCAAGTACTGTGCACCTAATGCATTCTGCATTGCAGGTTTGCCTATTCTACAAGTTGTACTGTTGAACCACTTCCTAAATAACAACAATAGAGTTTTCAATCGGTGATCAGATTGGATCAGACGATTCTAAGTTCTCAATCATCTTCTTAATACAAATTGTATGCAAGCTGCTCAGCTGTTATCTTAACTAACACTGGCTTCTATTAGCATTGAGCAAGGCTGAGTTTTCTGCAGTAGAATTTAACACACTTGTGCTTAAGCTTACTTTGGCCGGGTGGTATTCATGTAAATAATTTTTGACAAAGGATTCAGTATTATACTTTTAACTACACATTTAACTAACAAGAATATTACAAGTCTTGCTATTTGCAGTTTAAAGCACAAATTATCTTACGCATTTGTTTTTCTAAAGGCACAATTAAGTAACATTTGCTTCATTTGATGATGGTGGCCAGTTACTTAAATTAAGTTACATCATTTTCCTATATACATTGGTGTATCTGAGAAATTTGATTATTGGGCCAAAATCTTGGGTGTTCAGTTTTATCAATTTATCTCATTCAAGCCATCAAAAGATTATCCCATCCTTGGGGAATGGAACATGGTTTACTGTTACACTATCACTGATTATCTTACACCATTTTGAAACACATTCATCAAGCATGCAAAACAAAGCCATGCACTCATGCAAATTAAACAAATTATGTGTCAATCAACTCAAAAATGAGTACATTTGAGCCAGTTGTCATGTACAAGGTTCTGACCTCCCAAACTGAAACTTAATAATTCTTTGTTAAAAATGAAGACCACACTACTCACCGGTATTGACTGCTGTTGAGCAGCTCTGACTCTCCCCTGAAGATGCGCTGGCGGATGAAAGTATCGGCACATTTCCCTCTGACATCTTCCCTTCATAAAGTCCATACAAACTGTGATCATACCATCTGTACTATCAATAGACGCATGTGGAGGAGGGTGTGCAAATCTGCACTCCTCTCTTGAACATGATCCTCTCTGATATTCTCGACATACCTTGAAAAGAAGATACAATTCAGTTTAAAAAAATAATGCTATGAAAGTGAAAGTGATGGCTTGTGCACACCTTGAAAAGAAAGTAAACATTCCCATTAAAAATCATGCTATGAAAGTGAAAGTGATGGCTTTATAAAAATAGAGAATTTCTATAAGTACTTTTCCATTTTATCAATGATTCATGTTAATGCTATTTTTCCCACGATACCCTTAGTGTTTCAATTGTATTTGTTTTTATTTTGCTTAGTAACGCTGAGAGTGATTTCAGAGTCTTAAGCCAGATAAGGCCCATTTAATCACATACATGTACAACCATAAAATAAAGTCTTTGTGTGCAAAAATGTGCTAATGTAGTCTGATCATGTAAAGCAGTCTAGGCAGTCTTGAAAAGGATTGGTGTCAGTGGTATTTCTTTCTGTCTTAACAACTGAGTGGAAGTCAACATCACAGTGAAGTGAGAGGATGAAAGTCAGTTAGGGTTTATATGTCTTGCTCACAAAAACTGAAGAAAATTAAGTTTTGCTGCCATGTTATCAGCTGTAAGACTTTGACTACTGCAACTTCAGCCTTGACCCTTGACAAATTCCCCTTTAGCTGTCAGAATATCAATCCCTGTTGCACAAAATTTTTCAGGGCAGCCCTCACAATGAGGGTAAGACTTACTGATCAATGGTTTCTCCTGGGTTGAAACAATGTACTGACTTAAGATATCACTTGATATCTGTCTTAATATATTAACCTACGTTAATATACAATAGTTGAAAAACTTAAGGTCTCTGACCTCCAATTTGTCAGACTTGTCTAGTCGTCTCGAGGGACTTTGAGCCAGGGCTGATGCATCAGGCAGAAAAGCAACAGGATGTTGAAGATATGTTCCATTTGATGCAGGAACACTTAATGGCCATGCAGATATCTGAAATGAATTGGGTTCAGATGTTATATTAAAAATTACCCTTTCTCAAACTGTTAAAACAAAGAAAACAAGAATTCAAGACACAATCAGACACTTATTAAGCAGACCACAAAGTAAGAATTTTCTGCACCGCTTGCAAGAAAAAATACTACAATTCTGAATGAGATATACATTTCTTTCCAATTACTTTTACATGATCTTTGCAAAGAACATATTCAAGTACTGAATGTTATCTCTCATTTCCTTCTCAGACAAAGGGCTGGTTTTCTCTTGTTCAACAATTTTGTGAGAATTCCTGAACACCTCTCTTTAAATACATTGTCTCTCAAAAATGGTACATCATTTTCAAACCCTTTTGCCTGACATTACAAGAACTTAATTTTGCATTTAGTCTTTCCATGCAATAACTTTATTTATCTAGAAAGTATCTTACAAATGAGGGATTTGTCAGCATCTGTTGAGCAATTGGAGCAAAGGCTTGCTGCTGAATAGCTATCTGCTGTTGTTGCTGTTGCTGTTGTTGTAGAAGACGGCCATTGTTCTCCATCTGAGCTTTTATATGCTTTGGGGGATGTAAATATTTGCACTTTTCTCTATGGCAACGCCCCTGAAACAATAACAAATATTAAATGTCAAAACACAATGTGCAAAGCATAAAATTCCTGAGAAATTATTGGTTGGTTTGAGTGTCTTTAGCCTCATAAAGCATTCTTCTTGTGTGTCAATGACTAGCTTCCTGTTCCTTTTAAACTTTATCTTTGCAATAGTCTTGGCTTATAATTTAGAATGACCAGTGCATGCATGTGTAAGTTGATAATTCTTTACATCAATCTCCAGGTCCTGAATTTTTCTATGACACTACTTCTGTCTAAGGGATAAATCAAAGGATGTTCACAAATGAAATGTTTCAAAACAAAAAAAAGGTTTTGGGATTACCACCATAGATAGGGGGTTCTAATCCCATTACTACACAAAATAAAAGGTTAACCTTAACAAACTGAAAAAAAAAAAAAAAAGAATCTGGTATAAACGTTGTCTAGACATGTAGTCTGCAAATCAGTGTGAATCAAAAAAAAATATATATATATATATATACATATATATAAATATGGAAAAATTTAATGGGACTCAACACCATTTTGTTCCAAATAAAGGTTGAAAAGCGTAATTTTCTTTCAATCACAATTGACCATTTAAAAGATTTGCTTTTAACCTTGGAACTTTCACTGATGTATAACAGTGCCTGTCTGTGTTAGTTACTACATGCAATATAGACAGATTAATCTGGGTGGCTCTAAAGAAGCTTAGCATATCTCTCTTAAAGACACTTGACAGCTTTTTTTAGCAAGCCCAATCTTGTAATTAACTTACTGCTAACCACTCTGGTAAAAGCTACAAATAGGTAAAAAGAGTTAAAGAAACAAAACAAGGCCACAAACAAGGCCAGATGGACAAAAATCAAAACTTGCATGCCTTTGAAGTCTACTCAATTTAAAAATGTGCACTGACATCAAGAATCACTAAATTTGTATTAGACAAGGGACATTAAGTCAACCCAGTGCAATATCACCCACAGTCTGGCTTCCTCTTTTTTTTTGCCCTCCCATGAATTAATGGGACAAATTTGAATTAGTCTAAATATTGAGATTAACCACCCCACAGGTGAAAACATAACAACCTGCTCTTTACACCAGTCAAGTTGGGTACCTCAGATATTTGTTACCCCATTCAAAAATTCAGACCAGACGGGAGAGGCTTAACCTTAACAAGACAACCTAACCTGCTTAGACTGACACAAGAGGGCTTAAAACTACAATAATTAAACAGCATGCCTTAACACATGCAAATAAAAATTCTCACAATATAAATGAACATTTCCTTAACAATATAACTTAAGCAAGAGCCTGTTGTGACTGTGCACACCCTGTTTAAAAATTGCCTCCTAATTTCCTAACGACAACATTAAATTTAACATTATTTTATAATTCACTGCATCTATTGAAAAATTTTATTATTAGTGAACAGACACCAAGAAGTACTAGGAAATCATTTTAAATTTTCATTACCCATTGTTAGTGCAGAATTTAAACATCTTGCGAAGCAAATATTATCACAAGCAAAACTGGTGTCTCTCTTTGGCCACTTATTTTCAATAGAGAGCAACTGCTAAAATGTGTTTTATCCTAACAGTACTCTTCAATGACATGTAAATTGTCACTAGACACGACAAAAAGCTTCAAACTTGTCTCTAATTTGAAAAATGCATGTCAACTAGAGATTGTCCACTGGACCATTAAATGACAAGTCATTGTGTGTGAGCTAAACAAAAGATTGAATTTGACAAAAAATTTATACAGTTAAAGTTTTCACAATGTTGGCAACTTGACATCATTGTTGTCAGAGAAAAAAAAAAAACCAGCAAGGCAGGTTTAAAAGGCTCCCAAAACTTCTGAAAAGCTAGTTCTATCATAGTGAAGCCATCAGATAATTTCTGCTACCAGAACAATCTGAAATTCTCTCAGAAAAAGAAGGATAAAACTCCACATAGAACTAATCAATCAAAATTTTCCTTAAAAGCTACACATTTCAGGAAGCACTAACCAAAATATTTCTTTGAAAAAGAATCACAGACAAAGCTCAAAATCGTTCACCACAACATGCAGCAATATTCAACAGTAATCAGGCAATTTATTTCATATGAGTAATAGCCCACATATATATTAGATATATAACCATTTCTTTTTATCATTATAAAGATTAAGGTCTCAAAGGATTTACACCGACACGGAAATCCCTTTTGCCAAATGAGAACGACTCCAAAAATCGATGGCACAGGAAGTTTTAAACACGAGTCAAGTTTCTTTTGTCTCAAGAACACGGACTGAAGCAATACTGGGAAAAGTTCAATTTCTGTCACGCAAACCGCGTGCCACAAGAAATTAAACAGTGATGCTCACAATACTCAAAGCAAACTTTTTAATGATCCAATCAACAATCGCGTGATTATTACAAGAAAACAGATTTCACCCCGGGCACGCAATTTTATTATCTTTGAGAGAGGATATAAAATTCACGAAACATTTTTGCCAACGAAAATGCGTGCATTATCTCGCAAATTACGTAATTTCTTTTAATTTCAGTACACGTTAAGAACGCAGTGGTAAATTTTAACCTTTCTTTCAATATCGTGAGTCGAGAGGAAAAGAACAAAGAATGTGTCAACCCATATGTTGATAATCGAATCCACTTGCTGCGTTTCCGACATGAAACTCACGTAACGTGAAAAAAGATTTTACAAATTGCATGCTTCGATTTTGTCAATAGGAAACCCGTGTATTCGTTTCGTAAGCAGAAAGACAGATCAATTTTAACTTGACGTGTTTTAATTGTTCTCAACAGTTGAAAGACAAAATCGAACAGAAGGAGATTCACGAATTTGCCCATCGGTCACGAAAACTTAATCAACAATTACTCGGATGAGTCCACGAGTCTTTAACGAAACCTAAACACGCAATGATAAATTCTGGATTCATGGCACACGAAATAGCAAACTCTTAACTATTTTGACACCCACACAACATGCCACAACATGGTATTCATCGCCGGTTTTACGCAGTTTAGCAACGAATATTGGTCCAGTTAAACAAATGAGCCACAAACATAGTTTAGACCACTGGCATAGCCACTTAGACGATTCACAATCAAAGTTTGAAGTAGTTTTAAGAGAAACACATCTCATTTCCTTAAAAATATTGAACTGTTGATGTTGCATAAGCCAAACGCAGCGGAAAATCGTAGTGCCTATATAACCTTACTTATTGTGAAAGAAAAAATATCGCTGTGACAACTCTTGTGAAATTTTTCGTGGAAAATCATTCCTTCACGTACTTTTTCGGAAAAGCGCAGTCATAACACGCTCGCAAACTTAAGGGAAAGTTATAGACCCGCAAAAAACTTGTTTCGTAGTGACCGACGCAACAAGTTCTCGAAAATCTCTACCAACAAAAGAAAGTTTGAAGATTATGGCCATAAAGCGCGGAAATGACACCGCAAGCACTCCATTTTCCCACAAAAATATCCCCTCTAAGAGAAAAACGTAGATACCTTCAAAGAGTCGAAACAAGCCGTGACTTTTCCATTCTGTATGAGCACATGAGCGGGTGGATGGGCGAATCTACATTCGTCCTCTGTTCTTGAACACTTTCCACGCTGAAATTCCCTGCAAACTTCGACGAGTAACCATCGAGGATCTTTGCCCATGACTGGGACTATCATCTTTGGAATGAGTCCTTCTGATGTGTCCTTATCAGTAAACAAATACCTACCAAGGAATGGTGGAAATCATGGATGAAAAAAGTTTTTTATACGCCAGAGCCAACGATGCAAACGCGATTTTCCCGATATTTCTAGCAGTTAGGGGAATTTGTATTTGGCAACAAAAGTCTGCGCATGCTCACTTCCACGAAAACAGCGCGGGCTCAAATTACATAACAATGAGTCATCAATTACTTGTCGAGGTCAGGGTCATGGCGCAAGTTAAATTCGCATTAATTTCTGGCTATAGTCACGGAAAATGATATAAAGACATTAATTCTGTAAGTTTTCTTTGTTATTTCGGAAATAAAAGGGAAAATATACTTTATTCGTCGAGAATTAAGACTCGTGACTCAGCTGCTTGTGACGCATCACGCGAGTACGTGATGGATCGTGCACCTTGGCCCCAGCCCGCGCGATTACGTCATCACCAAGAGTGATTTAAAATAGTGTTAGGCCTTTGTTCGCTTTTCCGCTTCAGAGGGCCGAGAAAGAGAGTGGTCAAATGCCACAAAACCGCATCAAACGGTCGGCTCTCTCGATCTCCAGCTGTCCAGTCAAAGAACAAGGAATCGAAGAAAGGCAACCGCATCTGATTTAAATGTTTAGAGGTGGTAACACAATGGCTCTGACACAGTTGACAACCGGCACGACAAAATTTTCATGCCGCCGTTCGAATTGACACGGAAATAACTCACTCGTAATTTCCAAGAGGGTTTTTCGTCATGGTATACATCCCAAACTTTCAACTTCTCGGAGAAAAAGACATTCGCGTGTCTCTACATTTTCGTGCATTTTTTGCATAAACCAAAAAACCGGGGCCTAAAGCAATTTTCCTCCGTGGGAGGTAAAACTTTCTTACATAAACCCAGCCGTTGTTTAGACCCTATTTGTTCCGTTGAAACTATACAATGTGTTCATCGTGAACTTGCTATCGGCTCTGCGAGGAGCCGATGAAGTCCCTCTCTTTTCCTAAAACGTGAATCGGTTCGAGATCTTAGATCTCCGATCGGCAAAATCTTAATTAGCAAACATTTTCATTGCTGATTACAGTCACCTGTGTTCGCTGATTATCACTGCCTTAAAAGGTGAGGCAATACCAAAATTGGACATTTCTCTTTTCCGCTGAGTGTATCAATAAACATGCTATCTCCTGATTTTACTAATACTGTAAACAAGCGCACCCCTCTTAGGTTTGAGACAGTCACAGACTTCGTTGATGTGAACGCGTATATTTCACTACGGAATCCAATCGCATTTACACTAGCTTGTAGACTTCTTCAGCTCGCTGAAATATATATATAGGTATTCAGCGAAGAAAAATTATATTGTATTTTTTTGATCAAAAATTACCAGAGCAATCCTGCCGGCATTCTCTAAGCAGATCTGAATTTGCGACTACAAAACTTTCACTTAAAAATTCCACAGCAAAAAGTTTCGCACGTCCTTTGGAAACCCATTTGATCGAAGAAACTCGTCAAAGATTAACAAATGTTTCCTTTCGTGCTTATGGAGAACCAGGTTTATGCATTTCGTGACCGGAGTCTCTTACGGAAAGGGTAAAACACCCCATCATGCAAGCCTAAACAAAATCAAAAATGCGCGCTGAGTTTTACCTCCTACAGATCTACCTGATGATGTTTCGATCTTCCCGTGCCCAATGTTAGCTTTTATTCGTGATTGCCTTGTCATCAGTGGCTTCCTAAGATGTTTATTTTTCTCATGCTCACGAGATTTGGAAAAAAAAAAGTGCTGCAAATGTGGAACTCTCGTGTTGACTGAACTGGTGATCACGAAAACACGAAATACAACAGGCAAAGTGGGTCTATCAATTCTTCTTCCCTCCATTCTAGAGTTAATGCATTCACATGAGAGGTACAATGCCAGACCTTTCTCTTTTTTATCGCTGAGCTTCATTTTCTTCCTGCAAATAACTTAGAATCGCTTTTGAAACTGTTCGTGAGAAGAGTGTCTGACATTAAATTTTTAACTACAGTTGACTCTCTTGTGAAATCTCTTTCTTCCAGTTGCGTAAAGCTTCCCAGAGTGCGAGCCTTTCAAAGGAACCTGACGGGGATCTGCTCAGACAGGTTTAAAGAAAAAAAACGATTTCTCCTCCGCTAACAGTTGGCAAGTTTCATTCCCACTTCATAGCAGAATGCTACCGGAAGCCCATAACTAAGAAAATCCGACAAAAACAAGCTAGCCTGTTTCGTGAATTGAAGTTCGCAAATTTTGTGAATTTGAGGAGATATCTATGTTTTCTAACTAAACCAAATATATATAGAGATCTTTAACTCAATTATCAAACAGTTGGTTCAAGCTATTCAAAGCCTTGATCTGAAAAAGAGAAGTGACAGTTCCGAGATGACTTCATCGTTCTTTGTTGCACCAACACATACTTTCATTGAATTTTTTTTTCTCGACATTTCTAAAAGCCCCCGCAATATAACAATGATTGTAATTGTCGGTATTGTGGGCTGAGCGTAACAGAAATAAACTTTACAGGTTCAATCGCGTCCAGGCACAACTGTTCAGTGACAAAACACACAAAGAATTACCCACGTTTACGCGGTCCTGACAGTGAAGCGCTAAATTCAACCCTCAACGAAGTTTATCTCTCAGGGGAAATTGATCGTCGAATTATCAAGGAAGCTCGTCAAACAGAATCAAAACTGTTAATTGCAGTAGTTACCTCCGAAACCCACGCACGTGTGTTAAAATGCTTGCTTTCTTTTAAAGCGATAAAAGGAACTGTGACTGAACTTCCTGTCTTTTAATGGCGATTCAATCCGTCAAAGAAATTTTGAAACCTCCTCCATCTAAAGGATTTTGTTTTTTGCTGTGATTTCCCTTACACGCCTTTTCGCACGTATCACGAAAGGGTGTTGTTCTGTCTAAAGTGCTGCTTAAAATTTGTTACCAAAAACAATTTCGACACAAAATTGAGCGCAGCACAACTTTGTCACGGACTTCAGGCAGTCGGCCAACGTGTTGGATAAACAGAAATAAAACACTGCATTGATAAGATTTAGGCCTTTTGTTTTCATTGAAAGAATTAAATATCCATTCTTTGAAGTAAAACTGAGAGTTAAGAAAGGAAATATAGAATCTTGGCAATTCCGAACCCGGCCTTGCTTTGAACGTGACAACCACGCATAATTTCCTCAGAATTTTAAAATAAACCGTCAGTGTTATTTCGGGTCATTATGAAACGCCGAAATTGAAATTTAATTTGCTACAAACGCCAACACTATGTATGGACGCTAATCAAATAAGTTTTTGGCTCGCTTCACAGTTCGATTGAGAGAAGACAAAGGCAAGATTCTGTGAAGTTCGACTCGGTCACTGCTGACGGAAGCATATCTCTTCGCTTCTGTCATGCTAAGAAACTTGACTATTGTTTCGTTCAAATAAATATTTCAGCACAAACCTGGGAAGATGTGTAGGAGGTTGGATCGATCTGTTGAGGAATGCTTCATTCATTTTATGCTCTATGGTGACTTTTTGACGCGTTTAAATTAAAAAAAAACGCACTTTTCTTCAAAGCATGGGTCAAACGTTCTCTCTGCACGCGACCATGACACATACTGTACCAACAGGGAGTTTGACAGCGAGCATGCGCGCCGCGGACGTAAACGTCCGCGTGTGCATAGCTGCGGTAAACGGAGGAACCGCGCCCATCTCATATGAGTACTGTCCGAAACACCTCAAATATTTCTAAACAAGCAAACGATTGGGAGGACAAACAAAATCCTGAACCGTGTAAAATGGCAAGAGTTCCAGCTTTGTTTTATTCATTTAAGCACGCGGTCAACGACCTTAGCTTCTCTCAGAAAGTCATCTTTTATCGACTTGCTTAATAAATAACCGGAAACTTGAACAAAAACTACAAGAAGCCTTGTTGTTTCAGTTCTTTCCACAAAGAGCTTAAAAAGCCGATCACCGAAAGCAGTCAAGTCTTATTCAGGAAATGGCGTAAATATTTAGCGACTTTTTGATTTACCAAAAACCGGATACAACCTCACCAAGGGCAAATTTGCCGATGGTAAATTCGTAAACACTGAGATTAAGATATTTCAATCTCAGCTGCATGAAACCAATAGTTCATTCACCAGTCTTCTGTCATCTTTGACTGTTATCTTTCCTGAATACCCTTTTCTGCCTTTGTTTATCGCTACCGCGTGCGAAAACAGAAATTGTGCGACGTCAACCTCGCCATATTTACCATTCCCAGGGAGAAACTATTTTTTGCAATTCAAATACAAACAACTGATATTGGGTGAGTACTGATAAACACGTACGAGCAGGTTTTGCAGCTCAAGTTAGGACAGTACTGGTTGTAAACTAATAAACACGGTGTTGTGGCTTTGAAGTTTCTGAAAACCATTTTCCGAGAAGGCGCTAAATATAGCAACTTAACGAGAAACGCAAAATCTCTTATTTTCGTGAAATCCATAATTGTCCTCAGTCATGCATGGTTTCGGCTGTCTGCGGAAATTTTTGCGACATTTTAATGGTTGCCACTGAAGCACTCATTTTCTCTTTCGGAAACAGATGCTTAAAATCACCATTTCGCAGGAAAACTAAACGGGAAAAACAACTTTAGGGAAAACAAGTAAAATATCGGAAACCGCTCCACTCAGAACCTATTCAACGCTCTGTCTTAATTTTGCAAGAACCACGCTTTGTTACAGGTCGCAATTCTGTCGGTTCAGGCCTGAACGTGCGTCATGCGTGCGTGTCTTTCGTGAGAAGGGTTTCAAGTACAGAATTAGACAACAATTTTATTGTGTCAAGAATCGCTTCGAATGAAAGTATCCACGGAAAAGACTTGTTGTATAATTCTGTACTCGAAACCCTTCTCACGAAAGACACGCACGCATGACGCAGTTATCAGTTCTTGTCTTTCTATCACAGAAAAGGTTAACGATTGTCTTGTCCGAGTGGCATGTTCTTAAATAAAGTAAACCTTAACGTCGTGTATTGTATCTAATCTATAAATTGTTGCAAATATATCCTTCCGGAGTTTAAAATGTCTGCGAGTCCATAATTAATTAAAAATGAAACTCGTTCGATCGATACAGCCATTCTGAACTGAAACCAAACTGATCTAATGTTACCAGAGCTTCAATGTAGTAATCAGTTGACATATCACAAAATCGCGTTTCAGCGAAAAACAAACTTACGCACTCAGTTTGAAGTGTACTCACAACAACTGTACTCGTGCAGCAACTTGTCCTTTTGTAATAAGCTAAGGAAGTAAAAAGGCTTAATTTGGCCGTGCGCGGCGAACGGCGAAGTTCAAGGTCTCTGGAGGCACTTAAACCGGAAATAGATTGTTATCCACGCATGTTAATATAGATTCAATAATTTTCTAACAGGATTTCGGTTCTTTTACCACACCGGAAACAATACTACGAAAAGTAACTCATCTTTGATATCTATTAGCGTGATTCGAATTTTCACAATTAATTTAGAAGAACGCAAAAGACTCTTATGTTATAGACGACGATGAGTTAGCATTATTGAAAGTTAATTATTGTTTCCATACATCTACAGTGAAACTATGCTTACCAAGGTCACTTGCATGAAACTAAATACAGGAAATAGCTCAATAAAACCATTTCAATTCTCTGTCATCTTTTCTGGCTTTGGACTAAAAATTTGAATAGGTTCCTTATCGTTAAGTGATTGGTTAATTCTGTTCAAAAGAACCCTGTTAGCAACCCTGGCATTTTTCTGGGAACACTGTAAAACATTTCGAGTCAGACACTTTCATTTTGTTTAATTCAAGTTTCATATCTATATACCTTTAATTCCCAGAGGTGATTAACACGTCGATTTCTTTCCATAGTGTCCAGACATTAGTCTGATTTAACACGAAATTCTCATGACTAATCTTACATGGTAATGTCAAGCAGCTAAAGGGGAGAATTAAAAATCAGATCCTAGGGTGTTAAGGGTTGATTGATTTGTACAACAGCTGTTTTGAATTTTGTGATTGTTCAATTTGTTTTTTGACTCATTGTCGCCATGGTAGCTCAAATGAAAGTTGTGTTATTTTATATTTATGTTCAGTTGTGTTGTCACCGGATTAATGAGCCTTTACTAATTTGAAATATAATTGACTAGTTCTATCTTATTTATCAGATAAGAATAACTCGGAAAAGATTTTATAGCTGCCAGCGACTGAATACGAAATAACAATTCAAAGATAGCTTGAAAAGATAACCTAGAACCACAAAATGATAATGTTATGCCGTTTCATGTTCTTCCTTTTCTTCTTTATTTATTTATTTTTTTAGTAATGAATACCGATCATCCATGCAATTACAATTACATATTTTTCATTTTAACTTTAAGGGTTTTGAGTGGTAAGGAGAAGGGAACAATATTTCTAAGAAATTACTAGAATTTTTTTCTGCATCAAAATGATGAATTTTCCATAACCTTTTTCGAAATCGATGAATGAGACAAAGTTATTTGTGCTTAACTTGCATGTGCTATTCCCACGAGGCTGCTATCAATTTAATCATCATCATTCCATTTCCCTCCTCTGAGAAGTAAAGCCTCAGGCTTCAAAGTTATAAATAGTGTCAAAATGCTCTAAAAAATTTAGGAACACTAATATGCTGACGCAAATTCGCGGTCGCGATTTTTGCACTTGTTAAGTATGTGATGCTAAAATCATACGTATCGAGGAACAAATATCGTCGTCGAATCGCCTCAATATCTATATCATTAATTATTATCTATGATATTTTCCCAGACCGGTGCACCGTTTGGAATTACTTCAGGGAATCGTCGCTTCTTTTTCTAACCGTCCAATAGTATCGGCTCATTGGACAGGCTCGCCCCAAAAATTCACCGCCAATATATATTTCTTTAAACAAGACTCCTAGCAACATCGGATAAAGAGTACCGGCAAATTCATATATGGATTAAAAGTGTTTAGCATGAGTACTTGTTCATTATTATTCATGATCGCGGTTTGTGTCATTTGAGGAAAGAGGTTAGCCGGGTCACGCTATCTAAACTGCACCTGCTGTGTCCTTTACTACTTATAAAGGGGAAACTTAAAAAAATTGCGATTTCCAAGAAAAAGTCACATTTATCTCCAATTGGTAATAGTTAAGGAAAACCGAGGGGAAAATTGGGACCCTTTCCGCAGAATCGTTTGCAATTTTCTCTTGCTAAAACCTGTGAGAAATAATTCATTGACTGTTCATTAGATTTCGCCTCTGGGGGTGGGGGACTGGAGGATTTTGATTGTCTCATAATAAAATTAACTCTCCCCCCCTTCCCAAGGCTTTGAAATATTTCTATGATCCTGGCTCCCTCAGTGGGAGTTAATGGGCAGTCAATTTTCTATCATACTTTATTGGTGATGACTGATCCCCGCTTCGTTCCCCAATGGAAACCCCAATGATCCCTTGAATGGACAAAGTTGCCATAGCTATTCCTGAGGACAGAGTTGAATAACGTAGACGCATGCGCTAGGTTTTGCCGCGAGTTTGAGTCGTTCGCATGGTTGATTTCCTATTCTGTTGCTTCGAGGCGTCGTTTTCCCTGCCGCTTTTCTTTACAGAACAACCTCCAAAAACTTGGTACACCCCCTAAAAATTTCAAAAAATTAATCTTCTCCTTAAAAACTCTGGAATTATGAGTTCCTCGGGTTTGAATTTTAGACCGAGGACACTTGAGCCCGTGTTGTTGACCGCATACCCTCTGACGTAATTTCATTATTCAGCTCTGTCATTCCTGAGAAGACCTGGGTATGACAAACAAGTTGCATAGGAACAAAAATGGCGGACGTCACGCCTCCGTTTTGCAATGTCATTGTTATTATCCAAGTTTTTAAGTTGAAAAAATTAGCATCAAGGTGATGTAAACTGGAAACTTCAGAGGGATCATTGTTTTCTCTCAGATACGTGTGAAGACGTTCATTAGAATCGTGCTAGTCAATTGGACTTTCAACATCCGCTTTCGACCTCTCCTAGCTAGCTAGGTCAGGGGGGTAACGAAAGAGGGCTAGTTACAAATTTGAGAGCCACTTTGTCAACGAATGCTAATGAGTGCATTTAAAATTGGAAGAGAGTTAAAAAAAAAAAAAACAACGAACAAGTAAAGGTGAAGTGAATTTTTTCTCTTTGTGTATGAATGTGCCAAGTACAGCCTTCGCCACTGCAGCTCACGTAACCTTTTAAGTTATTTTTGCAAGAGAATGACTCATCAAAAGCTTCTTAGTAATGATGATAATAATGATAACAATAATCTTGATGATGTTAGTAGCAATAATGGAGGTAACAAAAATAATAATGATGACTAACTAGAATACTAGCTGGAAATACTTTGCAAAAATTGGTTTTAAACTTTTTTGAGACCTTCAGTGCCGAGTTACTTCCAACTGAAATGTTGCAAATTTAATTTTTAGAGAAACATGATCCAAGTTCACACTTCAGTTACATGTGACATATTTTCATGTTACTCACATATTAACCTGAATTTTCATATATTTAGCATGTCCAGGAATGCTGAGGAAACCAACAATATGCTGGACAGATGGGCAAAAGTTTTTGACAAAAGGTGTGAAAACATCAGCCAATCATAGAGAAGAAAAATATAGTTATAGACCTGCCAAGGGTGTTGTACATGACAAGTACATAGTACAAAGTAATAATAATAATAATAATAGTTTAATATTTGTAGTGCGCAAATTGCATTTACATATGATCAAATGTGCAAGTACAAGCTATTGCATCCCTTCAGTCCAGATCCCCTACATATAACAGGTCATTTCACAGTTGTGTACTTAGTTTCCAAGCCTTTGATTTTGAGCAAGGCTGAAGGTGACTTTGTTGTTATAGAGACCGGTAACTAATTAGCATCATGATAGCAAAGTACTTTACATTTGAAAAGCAATAACATTTGTAACATAACGAGGTCACCCTTAGCCTCACTCCTGTTTAAAGGCTTGGCAACCAAGCACGCAACTGTAAAATGGACTATTTCCAAGGATAAGCAAAATTAAGCTAGCCAAGCCATTGATAGGAGCCAGATTTCCAAATGGGAAGGTTCTGACACAAGCCTTGTTTCACAGAACCTCTCTCCCCCCAAAAGTACAACCCTTTAACTCGCAGAAGTGATTAACATGAACTTCTCCCTACAATATCCATACATTATCCAGCAAACAGGTAATAAGAATACTCAAACTTATCAGGTAGAAGTTGTTATCCTGATCTAGCACCAAATTCTCATAACTAATTCATAAGGAAAGATGTAGCAGTTAGAGGGGACAATTAACAATCTGATCTTGGGAGTTAAAGGGATAAATAAGGTAAAGTCTGTCTGGAGCAGATCCAGGGGTGGTTTAGGTTGAACCCCCACAGATCATTCTGTTAAACACTGGAAATCATGTTTCCAAAGACCTTAATTTCAAAATCTCACAGGGGGTAGGTATGCCACTGGACCTTCCGTAAGGGTCTATTTTCAGTAGACAATTCTCTGAACCCCCCTTGACCAAGTCCCAAACCCGCCCCAGTCTGTAGCTGAGCATGTTGGCCCAACCAGCTTGAACTTATTTACAGATTCCTTAACATGAAGTAACTAGGATTATTACTACTCCCCCCTGGATGGGATGCCAGTCCAAGGTCCAATGCAAGGTTATCTCCCAGCATTTTTGTCAGGCTTCCCTGACAATTCACTTGTACCCATTTATACTACTGGTCGGAGAAAGGAACTGAGACGGTGAAGTGTTTTGCCCAAGAACCCAACACAATGAACCAGGCCAGGTTTCAAAACTCAGACCTCTCAAATAGAAGTCTGGAGCCCACTAACCATTAGGCTAGGCTACCAAGTCTTCTACCAAGAGTTTAAATGGTTATCAGTTATCTCTTAAGGAGACTTTTAGAGCCCTGTTTGACTGAGTGCTGTAACACAAAAGTAATTGCATAAATTACAAGGAGTCAGTTAGAACTTAAGGTCAAAATAAGTAAACTGCTTGAAGAGCCCAGGAAAATAAATTGCAATCACAGAATGAAAGTAAAGCAGTCCCAGGTTAATTTGACTCAACTGAAAATTAAACAAATTGCTGGAGTTATCTGTTGGTACTCCAAGCTGAATTTTTTTCAGTCACCATTTGGAAACTTAAAATCATGAAATAATAATTGGATATAGAATGATATGACAACTAAACCACATTGCTTGTCTTGGAGTCAAAAGTTTGGCTCGCATTGGCTTTTGGGGATTCAACTGGCCATTTCTTTTTGGTTATGTGTTCTGTGGATATACAAGTCTACTTCTAACAACACAATAGCTTAGTGCTAACAATTCGGGGCTAATTTTGCTCTTTCTGGTGTTTGTTACAGCCTTGCAAAGCCAGTGCCAAAGACTGTAAGTACAGTTGACTGTCTACGGTATTACAAATTGTTATCTCAAAAGTTAAATTGTGTTTTGTGGAACTATTTTATTTATCTGGCTTACACATGGAACTCAGAAACTTGAAAAATCTGGAGTTGGGGATAGCCACAAATAACTACTCATTAGAAGCCAGAAGGCAGCAGAAACCTGCCAGCTGTCAGACCATTTTAAGCCAGCTATTTTATAACTTATGACCAAGGACAAAAAATAAGTATTTTTGCACCTATTCTGATATCAATTAGAATGTCCAGCTAAAAAATTTATTCAAATATGTCCCAGAATTCTGGAAATCATGTTTCAAAGAGTTTCAAATTTCATGCCTTCAGGTCCCTCTAAAAGACCAGGACAAAGGGAAATAGATAGAAGAGTTACGTTTAACTAAGATTTCATTTATCACTCTTTCTGTCATTTATTGTAATCTAAATTGCAAGTATAGTCAGGTGGCTATGCTCAAATCATTTCTCACATATATTAAATTCTCTCTAACTTTGAAAAAAATTTCAGAGATACTTTGTTTGAGCAGTGTCTCAACTAGTTAGTCAGCTAGTCAGCCACTCAGTCACCAAGTCAGTCAGCCAATCAGTCAGCCACTCAGTTAGCCAGTCCGTCAGCCAGTCAGTCAA